GCCTATTTCTAGGTTCTTTATTCTTTACCATTGATCTATGTGTCTTTTCTCCACTAATGACACACACAGTCTTGAATGTTGTATATGTTTTTATATATATGTATATATATATTCATATATGTTTATACATACACATATATGTATTGTTGTTCATTTGCCAAGTCATGTCCAACTCTTTGCAGCCCCGTGGACTGCAGCACACCAGCCCTTCCTGTCCCATACTATCTCCTGGAGTTTGCCCAAGTTCATGTCCATTGAATCGGTAATACCATCCAACCATCTCATCCTCTGTCACCCTCTATACATACATGCATATGTACAGTTGACCCTTGAACAACACAAGTTTGAATTGTACCGGCTCACTTAAACATGGATATTTTTTCAATAAATATGTGGTACAGTACTACATGATCTGCGGATCTGAAAATAAGCATCCAGCTGTCAAATTATACACAGACTTTCAACTGCATGGGGATTGGCAACCTTAACCCCACTTGTTTAAGGGTTAGTTTTAAAAGTGTGTAACAAAATTTACTATCAGATAGACTGTCCCTACCACTTTATTCTTTTTCAAAATTGCTTTAGCTATTCTAGTTCTTTTACCTTTCCATATATAGTTTAGAATAATATTGCCTATGAGATATCTTGCTAGGATTTTGATAGGAATTGTGTTAATGCTAGTGTATCAAGTCAGAGGGAAATACCATGTTTACTATACAGTGAACTTCCTATCCATGAATATGTTATTCTTTTCATTTATTCAGATGTTCTTTGGGTTCTCTCATCAGTGTTTTGTAGTTTTCAGCTTACAACTCCTGTATTTTTCCTTGAGAAATTGTAAATAGAATTCTTTTTAACTTTGGGATGCATATATTCATTGCTCTCATGTAAAAATACCAAAAAATGTTTATTTTTGTATCCTGTGGCCTTGCTGAACTCATTTATTCATTCTAGGGGTTTTCTTTGGTTCTCTGGGGTTTTCTGTGTATATAATCATATCATCTGCAAATATGGATAATTTATTTCTTCCTTTTTGATATCTACTTACTGTTTTTGCTTCCTGCATTAGTTGGAATTTCCTTTATTATGTTGAGTAAGAGTAAGGTATGTGAACATCCTTTATTCCTGATCTTAGTCTTTCACCATAAGCATTATGTTAGCAGTTTTTGGTAGATGCACTTTATCAAGTTAAGGAAGTTTCCTCCTTTGTTTTTCTGAGGGTGTTTTTTTTTTTTTTTAAGCATGAATGGATGTGAATTTTGTCAAATGTTTTTCTGCATTAATTGATCTGATACTGTGATTTTTATTAGCCTGTTAGATTATATTGATAAGTTGTATATTGATATATTAGATATTAAACCATTGATAGCCTTTTTAATGTCAAGCCAGCCTTTCACTCATGACATAATTTTCACTTAGTCATCATGTACAATTCTTTTTTTTTTTTTTACTGCTGAATTCTATCTGTTAATATTTTGTTAAGGATTTTTCTCCTATACTCTCGAATGGTATTTTTCTGTAGTGTTTGTGTGTGTGTGTGTGTGTGTGTGTGTGCTTTGTCTGTCTGGTTTTGTGTTAGAGTAATTCTAGCTTCATAAAATGAACTGAGAAGTACTCTCTCCTCTTCTGTTTTCTGGAAGAGTTTGTGTAGAATTGGTATTAATTCTTCTTTATGTCTTTTATTGATTTCGCCAGAACAACTGTCTTGGCCTGAAGATTTCTTTTATGAAAATTTTGGTTATAATTCAAGTTCGCTAGTAGTTATAGGATTATTCATGTAATATTTTAAATTGAATGAGTTTTAATAATTTTTGATTTTTGAGGAACTGGTCCATTTCATCTAAATTGTCAAACTGTCATATTTATATATTTAGAGCTCTTTATATTATTTCTTTACTTTCTATTTGATATCTATAGGATCTGTACTTATGTCCTCTGTTTCACTAATGATATTAAATTTTGTGTCATCCTTCTTTTTTTTCTGTATTGTTCCTGTTAGAGCATTGTCAATGTTATTGATCTTTTCAAAGGACCAGCTCTTTGTTTCATGGATTTTCTCTATTTTTTTCTGTTTTGTATTTCATTGATTTTGCTCATATTTTTATTGTTTACTTCTTGTGATTGCTTTGAGGTTTATTTTCTTCTTTTCTAGATTCTTGGGTTGGGAACTTAGATTATTGATTTGTACTTTTTCTCTTTTCTGATATGTGTTTAGTTCTATAAATTTCCCTCATAGCCATGCTTTAATTTTGTCTCGTACATTTTGAGACATTTTTGTTTTCTTTCATCTAGTTTATTTTTTATTATTCTCTTTCAGACTTCCTTTTTTACCCACAGTTTATTTAGAAGTGTAGTATTTAGATTCCAAGTGTTTAGAGATTTTCCTGTTATCTTTCTGTTATTTATTTCTATTTGGTTCTCGTGGTCAGGGAACACACTCTGTGGATTTCAATTATTTTAAATTTGTTGCAGTTTATTTTATGGTTCTGGACATAGCTTTTCTTGGTATATTTTCTGTGAGTACTTGAAAAGAATGAATATTCTGCTCTGGTCAGGGGAAATGTTCTATAAATATTGATCAGGTCCTATTGGTTGATGACATTGGTTAGTTCTTTTGTATCCTTTCATCCTTTCTGTCTAGTTTTTTATCAATTATTGAGAGAGGAGTGTTGAAGTCTTCAACTATAAATGTACTTTTTTCCATTTTTTTTCCATTTCTGACAGTTTTTACTTTATGTATATTGCAGCTCTGTTTGGTATATACATATTTAAGATTGCTAATCTTGGTGGATTGATCCTTATATTATATAACCTTCCTCCCTATTCTGGTAATTCCCTTTGTCTGAAGTTTTATTTTATCTGATGTTAATGCAGCCACCTCTTGTTTTCTTCAGATTAATATCTGCCTGTTTTATCTTTTTTCATCCTTTCACTTTCATCTGCCTGTGTTGTTATATTTGAAGTGAGTTTCTTATAGATAGCATATAGTTAGGTCATGTTTCTTAATCTGCTGTCCTAGTCTCTATCTTTTAATTGATGTATTTGGACCATTCACATTAATATAATTTTAATATATTAGAACTTAAGTCTGAATATTTTACTTTTTTTCTATTCTTTTTCTTCATCTCCTTTTTCTTTTTCCTGTCTTAAAATATTTTGAGAATTTAATTTCGATCTGTTTATGGTGTTTTTGTTTTATTTTTTGGTGCTCTGAACATGATATTTATAGTGGTTTTGAGTATGTCTATTTACATAGCTTATTAATGGTTGTTCTGATTATTACACCACCTATACATAATTATCAGTCTATTGATGTGCTTATTTATCTAGTTTTTATGAAAGTGTAGAAACCTTTTCTCCCTTTACCTCCACCATTTATAACAAAGTTGGCTTAAATATTTCTTATGCATACATTTAAAACCACATTAGATAGGGTTGTAATTTTGTTTCAACCATCGGTCGTGTTTTAGGAGACTCAAGGAGAAAGAAAGTCAGTCCTGCTTATCAGTGTTTTTACTTACGGTCTTCTTTCAAGAAGATATTGCTGCTGTTTCATGGTTCCTGCTTTAATCGTTTGAATCCACTTAATGTCTTTTTAGACATTTTTAAAGGTTATATCTATCTGGTGACAACAGATTCTTTTAGTTTTCTTTCCTTTGAAAATATATTGATTTCCTCTTCATTCCTGAAAGATATTTTCACTGAACATAGGATTCTGATTTCAGAACTACTATCTTGATTCTTAAAAAAAATGTGCCACCTCCTTGTGGTCTCTATGATTTCTGATAAGAAATCTACTGTCATTTGAATTGTCTACCTCCTCTAGTTAAGGTGCCATTTCCCAGCTGCTTTGAAGATTTTTGTTTTGTCTTTAGTTTCCAGAAGTTTAACTGTGTTTTGTCTTGGTAGGGATTTCTTTGGCATTTTCTCGCTTTCAGATTCTTCAACTCCAAGTTTGGGGTATATGAAGCAATAGGAAAACCAAGGGAACTCACTGTCAGGTATTCCCTTTAATCCTGGGGTCCCTACCTGGCCTGTCTTATTTTCACTTCTCTTTATGAGTGCTTTTATATTCGCTTTGTATAAAACATATCCTGAATTTTTTACTTGTACTTATTAGCAGGAAAAAAGGTGAAAATACACCTATTCCATATTCTCTAAATATGGAATAGGGAAGTCTAATAGGAAGTAAAAGTGGAAGTCTACTGGCTTTATTTCAATAATTATTCACTTTAAAAAATTTCTTCTTGAAATATAATATTTAGTCTAGTATCTGCTCACATAGTATGTGTAAGGATAGATTTTTTTTTTTTCAATTATCTACTTGGGAGTTGACTGACACATTTAATTGCAAGATGGCTAGATATACTTAGTTTCTGGCATAAATTCTAGTGTCTAGATTGTAGGCATTTACCAAATTGCTTCTGACTAAACCATGATAGGATCACCTCTTAGCTCCAAGTCTGATTCCCTGGCAGTCAGAGTTAACAAAGTATATAGTAGTCTCCTAAATACTTTGAAAAGGTCTTGTAGGCTCTTCTCCCTACCAGATAAAACTTAGAGGGGTCATACCACCTAGGATATAATGTATGACTTCTGAGCCTCATGTACTCGCCTTCTTTATCTTCACATTTTTGAGTGTTTCAGGATGTAAAAAGGCATTGGGGAGACTGAGGAGGGAAAGTGGAAACAGTGTTATGATTGTATCAGGATGTAAAAAGGCATTGGGGAGACTGAGGAGGGAAAGTGGAAACAGTGTTATGATTGTATCATATCTCCTTTCGCTCATTTGAGAAATAATTATTTTTTTTCTGGTTGGATATAAGCATCTCTCTCCAGGTCACAGGGTCAGAGAGTGAATGAGAAAGAAAATTCTTCACCCTTTAGGAGGGCCATCCTTGTTTTCAGAGCCGTTCATGGATCAGTCATTTACTGCTTTGCTCATTACAGCTCCATCGGTTTAATAGTTAAAGGAAATTCCCTCCAACTTTAGACAATAGTCAGTTTTTAGTGTTGCTGTTTTTAATCTTTTTTTTCTGGGTACTTTTAGGTATTTTTGGAGAAGGGAGCAGCACCCAGCCAGATGCCATTTAAAACTAAAATCTCCCAGACTAAAATCTGAAGGGAAATTTAAAAGTAAGTCAAAGTGAAAGCAAGTTTTTAAAAATTGAATTGAACAATGAAGTTGCTAAAATAATCTCTTCATTTAAAAAATCAGTGACATACAAGAATAATTTTATTGTTTGAGTTTTAAAATCTTTTTAACTCTTTAAATCAGCGTCCTCTTGGTACTTGAATAGGTGCCATCTGCTGATCTGTAACTGAGCCAGTTTTTGCATTTGGACCTAAATTTAAAACTTAATTCTGACAGAGACACATGCAGGTCTTCATTAGAAATGAATCATTTGTAGATTTTATTTTAATACTTTCCTAAAACTGAGATTTATTTATTTGTAGCAATTTACATGGAACTTCCCTGGTGGCTCAGGTGGTGAAGAATATGCCTGCAGTGTAGTCCACGGGATCGCACATAGGTAAATTTCTCAAAGATACTTGCTATTAATTACTTAAACTATTCTATCAGTTTAACAAGGAGGTAACTTGAGTAGGCGAGAGGTACTGGCCTTTCTTGGTGGCTCAGATGGTAAAGAATCTGCCTGCAATGCAGGAGACCTGGATTCGATCCCTGGGTTGGGAAGGTTCCCTGGAGAAAGGAATGGCTGCCCACTCCAGTATTCTTGCCTGGAGAATCCCATGGACAAAGGAGCCTGGTGGATTACAATCCATGGGGTCACAAAGAGTTGGACACGACTAAGTAACTAAATAATGTACACGCACACACACACACACACACACACAAACCAGTTAGCTATCGCTACATTTAAAGAAATTCAAAGTTAGAAGCGTAGAACGGCAACTGGAAGCTTAGAGCAGCTGTCTGCAACTCAACTTGTGGTTTCTGATGATTTGAACTGGGCTTGGTGAGGCTTGTGTCAATGGTCAGCTGTGAATTGGCTATTGGACTTTGCTAATCTTGGCCCTGCTCTCGTATATCTGGAGCCTACCTGGGTCACTGGACTGATTTACCTTTGTTCCATGTGTCTCATCCTCCAGTAGACGAGTTCAGGTACATTCTTGCGATGGGGGTGTTGGGGAACAGAGCACAGAAAGTGTACCATATCTCTGAAGGCCTTGATTTTGAACTGGCAAAAATATCTCTTCCTTTGCATTTTATTAGCTAAGCAACTCACAAGGGTTGATAAAATAGACTCTATCTGTGGAGGAACCACAACGTAACATTTAATATGTAGATATAGGAGGGGCGAATAATTATGGCCATTGTACTCAACCCACTCTTTTAGAAAAGGATGGAAATGGAACTAGGACCCTGTATCATGCCTCCAGACTAGGTTTCTTTTTGTTATACTAGCTTTCTTCCTACTTACCTGGTGTACAATGAATCAGGGTTTATAAGGGGAAAAACATTTGTGTCTCAGGGTATGTCAGTCCTCAAGGACTGATCTAGCCAGTTGTGATGAATTCACATTCTTTTTATCTATTGAGTTCTTAGTAGTTCTTTACAAAATCAATTTTAGAGTAAATAGATTTTATGCAATAAGAAATGTCTATTGCTTTCCAAATGATATTAGTAGAGTGAATCTTTTGCAGGTTAAGAGAACTTTTTACATTCTTTACCTGTTTATTCCTTTTGACCGTAAGTCTCAGGGAACCAGAGTGATGATATCAGGATTGTATTACTCTAGTTATCAGGGTCTTAAGTTCACTTCACATGTTATAGTCTAGAAAAATTATTACTATGAGTGAGTGATTCTTTTTGGAAAGCAGATTATACAGTAAGATATAAAACTTCAAGGTATGATTTACCTCATGTTGAAATTTTATCAGAGCCCACTCACCCCTCATTATTGCCCTTGCCTTTATGGATCTGAAGATAGATGAAAAAGATAAAATTGTTATTGGAGTTGTGGCAGCTTCAAGCTGTCCTGTTTGTTTGTCCCTGAATCTTTCTATGCTGGTTCCAAAAATCCTCTCCTGCCAAAATTAGGCTTGGAAAAATAACATATTTCGTATATGACATATGTTTGAAATTAGTGGGAAATGCAGCCAAGATTTGAAAATTAACAAGGAAAAAGTTATTTCTGAAAACATTTGGGAGCCAAAGAAGAGTGTTTGGCTTAAAACATTAGGGCATTTTATTGTTTAGTAAATCAAATAATTTTAAAAAGTCCCAGAAGGAAAACATAACATTTCATTTTTAAAAGTATGTATGATATGAATAATTCTTATTTAAAAACTCTTTGTTACAAAGAGTAACAAATTAAAGCAAGTAGTCTAAATGTATCATATATAGGGTAACTAATATTTTGATAAGCTATTAAATATTTTTCTCTATGGATTTTTTATATTAAATCATGTGCATCTATTTTCTCATATGTGAAAAGGATTTCTCTTAATCTGCTACCTGCAAATGCACAGGAATAGATGAAGGGATCAGAACAAGAATCAAATTTTCCCCCTTTAATACAGAGTACTGTTTAGACCTAACTTATTTATAAGTACATTGTCATGTCTGTGCTGAATATAGAATTATCTTCTTTGTCACCTTTTCTCTTTGAATTAATCTAATTCAAGGCAAGGAACCTTCACGAGGCATTTTGTCTTCACAAGGCAGAGAGATGCTAAGGAGAGATATTGGTAGATTTACAAACTGGTCCCCAACCACAGGAAACTTAAAATGTAGTTGAGAAGAGCAGAATTTCTTAAATTGGAGGTATTGTTCTTGCCAGGGCCCTACTTATGGAACTTGCATTCCAGAATCTTAGAGCAATTTATAAAAAGATAAAGGCCTATCTGGGTTAAGAATCTCAGAGCTGATTTGTTGATTCCATGATTCCAGGCTGGACTCATAGAAATGAGGCCATATGTGTTTTCAAGCTCCTCAGAATGACACATTTTAAATAGATTTTCATAAATTAGAGGAAAAATCTGTTTTGTCATAGTGTTTTGCCCTGTCTTCCTAATTTGTTTCTTCCTATCATTATCAGATGTGATATTATCAAGGAATTTTCAGCCTGGCATGACCTTTGCCTCTGAAATAGCGGTGTTTGTTTTTGGAGATTGCCTTCTATATCTTCTTTGTTCTCAGCATCCTGTGACGTTAAGATGGAATCATCAATAGATTGGACAATTCACTAGAACTATGTAGAATTAAATATCAATTTAGATCTTCACCTTTGAGCGTTTTAACTGAGAGATCCAGATCCTGAGAATTGGTTCATAGTTTTCCCTAAACCGGAAGTTCCTTCTTGGGGTCTGGTTCTGTTTCCTGGTCTTAGTTTCCATGAGCTATCTTTGAATCTTGATAATAAACCTCCCTTTCTTTGAGTAATAAATTAATAAATGTCAATTTGAGGAAGGTGAGGAAACAAGAGTGCAGCATATTACTAGGTGGTTTGTTAATAGATAAGGAACGCCAGGGTGCTGAAGACTACAATGTCTAATTCTGTAGCGCGATGAAGAAGAAATGCTGAGTGCATGGCTGTGCCACCCACTTTAGTAAGGTTGGGCTTCCTTCATGGCTCAGCTGGTAAAGAGTCCGCCTGCAGTGTGGGAGACCTGGGTTGGGAAGATCCCCTGGAGAAGGGAACGGCTACCCACTCCAGTATTCTGGCCTGGAGAATTCCATGGACTGTATAGTCCACGGGGTCACGAAGAGTCAGACATGACTGAGCGACTTTCATTTTCACTGTAGTAAGGTATCCTATAGAGTGCCCCCAGTTTTTATTGACGATGCCATGAGCAGAAAATAATGAGTGGAATTTAGAAACTGGATTAGCTAGTTATCATTGTAGGACATTCATCAGGCCCCTTAACTCTTAAGTACTTTCATTTGTAAAATAGAGCTAGTAAAAATAATTGTCTTTCAGAATTCTTCTGAGGACTAAATGAGAAGCTACATTATATATATAATGCAGAAAGTTAGAAGAACTCAGAGGCCAAATGCAACCAAAGTTTCCTCTGGGATTACTATGGACACGTATCTTTTGCTTATAAATATCCTGAATTTCATAGATCTTTTCATCTTATATGAATATTATTTGAATAATATGAATAGCTGAAGCCCCTGATGGAAAGTGACAAATGACATGAGAAAATTACAAGCAAAGATTTTAAAAAGAGTTCAGAGAACCAGGGCTTTGGGGAAGGGCTTCTTTGTGAGGCAGTGCTTTAACAGGCACTGTTAAAGTGAGCTTCTAGGTACTGGGTGGATTTCAACAGGTGAAGATGCAAATGTGAGATAGGAAGATATGCCAGACACAGGGATGGATGTGAATAGAGTTTAGTAGGTGAAGGTGTTGAGGAGACTCTTTAACAAGTCAAAAGAAAGGGAACTATGGCTTGTGATGATACCAGTACTGAGATCCCATGTTTGGGAATTCTGTTTGTGGGCTGTGTGCTAAGTTGCTTCAGTTGTGTCTGACTCTTTGCAACCCCATGGACTGTACAGCCTGCCAGACTCCCCTGTCCATGGGATTCTCCAGGCAAGAATACTGGAGGGGGTTGCCGTACCCTCCTCCAGGGGATCTTCCCAACCCAGGGATTGAACCTGTGTCTCTTATGTCTCCTGCATTGGCAGGCAGGTTCTTTACTATTAGCACCACCTTGGAAGCCCTTGTAAATTCTAGGAGTGGGTTAAAAGTAGGAATGAAGGTGCAATAAGAGAGGCAAATGTGATAAGAAATGAGAGGAATGGGGCCCCAAGAGCATGGGTAAGGATTGCCAAATAATAAAGATCAAAAGAACTTAAAAAAACAAAAATGAATCTGCTTGTCAGACAGAACACACACCAGTGAAAAAAAAATCACCAAAGTGAACACAGAGGGGGAAATGTATTATAAAGGGAGTTTCATGTGGTTATGCTAAGGATTGAAAACTAGCCGCTCTGGGTAGGATAGAATGCTCTTTTATTTGTGCTTTTTGTTGGTCAGTTTGCTGTTAAAATCTTCCCAAGCACTGTGTTGAAATGCCGTCTAGTGTCCTTAATCACAAGAAGGCTGTGATGTGCCTTATGG